AGGTTGATAATACAGCTTCTGTAAGGCAAGATTTCGGTCAAGATCATGCGCTTTTTGAGGATCGATATAAATCAAGGGTTTTCCCATTCCGAATCTCTTTTATAATAATGAAAAAAAGAATGTCATTTCACAGACCTAATCCAAGGCAGAGATGAACATGTGAAGAACATAAAGCTGAACTGGAGGAGGAGAACTATCATCCTCGTAGTGAATTGCAGACAAAGGTAGAAAATAATCGCCTGAATGAGAAACGGTTTAATCAACTGGAACGCGAATATAGCCGGTATGAGCAGGAAATCTAAGATCTCAATAAAGACATAGAGAGTCTTGAGAATGCTTCAGAAGAAGAGATAGCAAAGCTAAAATCTGAAATCTCTAGTCTAAAAAGTCAGTTATATCAAGCTAAGAAAGATGTGCGAGATAAGGAACAATATATCTCTAGTTTAGAAAAGCAGTTAGTAGAATCTGAGAAGCAGGTAGAAAAATTGCAATGCTGGATTATAACTATCTCATCACGAAAAAATTCACCTGAATGAGGTAATTCTCCAGACTTGTATAATTTTGATAATAATATGGCAACAATCACAGAGCTAGCAAACGCTATAGAGTGTTATGTGGATAATAGGACAACAGCTAGAGATATTCTAATAGATCAAATAAAAAGGGTAACAAGGCAAATTCGCCGGAAAGAGAATAATTTGCATCAGGATTTAGTCTGTAAGCAACAAAGGCATTATGATGCAGAGGCAGATCGCGACAATGAAATTATACGAAGGCAACTTGCTGAAGGAGGGATGGCCAATATTATTGGTAATCTCCATCAATATCAAACTAATATTCAAAACCAGGTGAATAGAATGATAGATAATATGGCAAGAAAGCAAACCCGTATAGGTGAACTGGTACAAGAAAAATTTGCTTTACAATTATTATATCAGCGAAATGCCCACCACCTACAGCGAAGTAGAGGAGATATAGGTCTGTTAGAATATAATCGAGACAGGCTCTATGAGCGATATGAG